TTCCAACAAATTATGGAATTTTCACAGGATTTCGACAGGACAAAGTCTCCAAACCAGACAACACAATCGACGTAGTTGCGGTGAATATCTCTGGTGGAAAAATCAGGAAAGTGTTCTTTAATTGTTGGATATGGTGCCGCATTCTTGTTCACATTGTAATGACAACTGCTCTGTAGAGCCTCATGAATGGATGGCTTATTAAGACACCACAATTTAAGTGAGTGATCCATTCCACTCGACATAATTCGATCCCCCTTAATGTCAAAATCCAAAGACAAAACTTCATCACGGTGGCCTTCAACACCGCCGAAGATGGCTACACACACATCTGAACTAACATTCCATAAACGCAACGAATGGTCTTTACTGCCAGATAACAAAATGTATGGAAGTTTTGGATGGAACTTCAATTCATTTATTGCATGCCCGTGGCCAATGAAGTGTTTGTTGCTCATATTTTTTGAAATGTTGAAAAGACGTATAACTCCGCGATATCCGGCTGCGGCTAAAATTGGCTCAGATGTCTCCACATCGTAGGACCAGGCACAAGTGTAAAAGTTTTCATCTGGCTATAAACAAATTGAATATATTTTATCTAGATTTGAACATGATGTCACACACTCTGACTTACATCGGGATCAGCGTAGCATTGCAACAATTTTACCCCGCCACTGCCATCTTCAGGCGGTTCCGTGCACTCATAAATGGATATTCGATCCTTTCCAACCGATGCAAATATTGCCTGTTGCCATAAATGATGATTGAACTGTACACCGAATAATGGTTGTCCGTGATCCTCTCGCAGATGACAACTGGAAAGTTGGAGATGTGTTAGACCGTTTGAAATTTTCTATTTATGCACATTTAAAAACCTACATGTACCTAAACGACGGCTTTACAATTTTTGTTGTCTTACTCTTTCGAGGGAATTTATTAAGGCCCGAACTGCTATGAGACGTTGCGGTGCTAGTGCTCACCGTGTCATCCTTATCATCAACATCGGAGTCGTGCCCCTGTCGGTCAATACATACAGGATCCTCGGCATTGTTTTCCTCGATTTCATCCAGCATTACTTGTTGTCTAAACCTGATGTACTACTTTGTACGCCATATGATATGAATACATAAAAGTTTGTGTGTTTGTGCTTACGCTTTAAAATGGTTACATGTCGATTTGTTGTATGGTGTGTGATACGAACGACTTCAATAGAAGTGCTGAAGTGCAGCATATAATAGAGGGAGGACAAAAGACCCACTGGTAATTTTAATAAAAATAGAATTGCTGGTTTTCCGAAGCCATCAATAATTATTTTTGTTCTTATAGCACTTGATTTGTCAAAAACTTTTGACAATGCAGATTTTCATATCGATAATTGGGAAAAGGAAAAAAATATTTTAAATAGATCTGCTTGGTAGTCAATATATTCATATATTTCAAATCGTACAGTTTCCGGTTTAAACAGACCGCTCGGTTGGATTAACAGGTTTTGAGTTATCGTCCCCGCCATACGTAAAAAAACTGTTTACTCATAAAGTCAAAAATGAAATGTTTGGCATATATACACTACTTACTTTTAGTCTGCTATTATACCATATCTAAGCAAGTTATACATATATCTATTTATCACATTTGATCGTAAGTCATCGGCTGAAATTAGCTTTTGCGTTTCTTTGTGTAAAGTAAAATAGTATATATTTAAATAAAATAGTAAATTATTGGTCTCGCCAACATTTTATTAACAATTTCAATTCAATTTTATTAAACTTTAATTCAAAGCCTTCAGGCCCATTAAAGATAAATTATAAAGCCATTAAGCCATTATAAAATGCATATGAAGTGCTTAATTTAATAAAGGATAAACTACACAAAAGTAATAATAATTCAAAAAATTGAAAACATAAATTCATACAATCGTAAATTCCATAATAAAAACTACTTCTACTACTACTCATATTTTGGAAAAGGTTAGTTGCTTGTGTACAATTCATTTTCGAGGTCATCATTAATATATGTTTCTACTTCCCTTATAGCCTTTAGACTATGTTCAGTTCGGGATAATAACTCATTAATGAAATATCCACGTAAGACATTGACTTTAGTTTGATTTTGTCGAGCCTTGGCATAGGCAACATCCAGTTCGTAAGCCAGATATGGTCCCATTTTTAAATCAGCCGCCACTTTTAAGAAATGACATTTTTTATTCCGCAAAGAGGCAAGATGTTCGCAGTCCGATTTTCTCTGCATTTCCAGACTTAATATCTCTTCGTGCGGAGACTCGGAGTCACAAAACAATTCGGGCAGTTCATCCCTCATTTTAGTCCCAAAATCTTGTATACGAGTCAAATTAGCATGCAATTTCTCTGATAACTGCTGCCTCACGGCTTTTCTTTCCGTGTAATTAAGATTGACTTTGCACAGTTCGTTCAAGTCTAAAATGGACAGATTTGCGTTAATAAAAAAAAACTCCCCAGTAAGTGACAATTATATTTACCCAAAAGACATTCACTCCTTTTCTCGTTTAAGTATAAATAGTTACCGATTTTAATGACTTTCAAAGTTTTTTCGATTTGCTCTTTGTCGGGAATTAACATTTTATTACAGTTCAACTGTTTGAGTTCTTTCAGGACAAGGCGCAACTTGCGTACCTTAGCAAGCTCCTCATCACGAGCTTTTTGCAATTGTTCTATTGTCTCGGAATTTAATATTCGCGTTGTTTCGTTATTGCAATCCATTTTGGTTTCAATGATTTTATCAATTTAAAAAATAAACAACAAAAAAACAATCCCGCCTTCACAGCGCCTTTTTCAAAGACTGAAGACAAAATGAAAAACGTTCCACCTTCCAACGAATAGGAGGAGAAGACAAAATGGCGACTAAATGAGAACCGAATTGCTTAGTGTGGTTTTATATTTGTCGGGATCGGGATCGGTGTTGAGAGTTTCTCTCTCTTGAGAGAGTAATTAGAGTTGCGCTATTTTAAATTTTGTAACAAGCGTACTTTTTGTTCACAAAAGGAACGAATTGACATAAACGTACCAAAACAAAATTTAGATTTTTTATTATTCGTGAATACATTACCCTTAAATTATAACATATATTATTTATGCAAATAACTGGTATAAATATTGGCCAATATTTCTCGATAATTATGATTTATTATCATTTCAAGTAGAATTTTAGGTACCTTTTCGTACTTTTTTGTTCCTACCTGTGGTAATGTTTTCCAACACAATTCACAATTTACCACTGAGAGAGAGAAACTCTCAACACCGATCCCGATAAATATAAAACCACACTTACGAATGAGGTGGGATGGAGACTAAATGAGAACCGCCTTAAAGAGAACCAAGCCATACTGACTGTATTGACGGCGTTATTATTAATAAATAGAAAAGTGGAAACTCGGTTTTGAACATGTTCGACAAAATCGAAAAGTCAACTTTTGCCCTCTTCTACGCATGATCCAATAAACAGGTCGGGTCAGAAGCAATCGTTTTCGACAATTTTGGATTAAAATCCCCCATACTGTCAAATATTTTGTTTACATTTTCACACATTGCAGTCAAAATCGAAAGCATTTTGACAGCTCGGTTGAAATCATCTGGCCTTGTCGGACGACCTTATTATTGGATCATACTTCTACGTATCCATAGTAAAGTCACAGTCGATACATATTTGACTATGGCGACAAGTTCAAGTACAGTTTTTCAAGTTAGGGCGGTATTACATTTTACTATGGACGGCGGTGTTTATTTTTTGGTATGTCCATGGTAGTAGCATAGGCGAATTTCTACAACAAGAAACTGACTGTTGTAGTAAAATTGATATATCAAAAACATTTTGTAAAAACCAATCGATTCACACAAGAGGACTTCAATATTGGCATATTAAAGCTACGTTTAGACTACTAAATCCACTCAATCTCACACGTCAATTCCATTACGTATACGTCAAATATAATCCACTGGATTTGTGAACTGGATTAACGTGACGTATAAGTAAGTTGGCTTATTTTTATTATAAAAGAATAAAGGATGACGGCGTCCAAAATCAAGTGCGTTTCGTACTAAAATACCCATCTTCTCACCTTCATAGGGTTTGTCCGCTTTTCCACAGGTAGATTTTTATTTGACAAATTTTTTGTTTTCTCTTTTGAAATTTTTGCTTGCTTTTCCATTAGCAAATTTTTCTTTGCCAAATTTGCGAATCAAAATACAAAAGAAAGAAAAAAACGTCAAAAGTGTTTGCATTTTAAAGATTTTTTTTAATATTTTATTTTTTATATATTTTATTATATAAATTGCAAAAATTAAAAATTAAATTTCACTTGCACAAATTAAAGCAACAGGTTTGTAAACAAAAGCCGGCTGTGTGTCAGTAAAGCGAATAGGTTCAAAAGGAAATGTCAACAAAATTGTTTTCAACGAACAGAGCAAAGCAGAATTTGCGTGTACGGCAAATTCTGAACAGGCAAATTTTTGTTTTTCTTCCTCGCACCCCTCTCAAACTCAGTATTTGCCAAATAAAAATTTACCTGTGGAAAAGCAGACTTTTTAAACGTCTGTATTACTTAAATACGCAAGGAACTTATTTACTTGTGTGTCAGTTGAAAACGGCCATAATGGATGAAAACATTTTATTTTATTTATTGAAATTCATTCTTAATTAACCGAAAATGTTTTTATTTATAGAAAAACAAAACATTTATAGAAAATCAACAAACAAAAAACTCAGTATTTGCCAAATAAAAATTTACCTGTGGAAAAGCAGACTTTTTAAACGTCTGTATTACTTAAATACGCAAGGACCTTATTTACTTGTGTGTCAGTTGAAAACGGCCATAATGGATGAAAACATTTTATTTTATTTATTGAAATTCATTCTTAATTAACCGAAAATGTTTTTATTTATAGAAAAACAAAACATTTATAGAAAATCAACAAACAAAAAAAATCCAATATACGCATTGTCAAAACATGTATTTAACTTTTGAGGTAAAATCGTACGCGAATAAAATCGTACGCATACGCACGATATGATACGACCCTGATACGATATTTAAACATTGACATTTCATACGAAGACAATTTAAGAGGCCAAGCCTGAATCTTCGAACGTGTTCCCCCTTAAGATTTTTTTACGATTTTTAATTCATTCATAATTTTGATCTTTTTCGAGTCGATTTTTTAAATATAAACGCAGTTAAGGACTTTTTCTTACCGCGTTAACGCGCACAAATAGTTAAAATATAACACAACACGACGGATCTAATTTGCTTACCCCTTTTTAGACCAACATATATATCTCATATCGATAACTCGATAATCTAGACCTTTGTGACGTCTGCATCACACCTCATTCGTAAACTATTTCATTTTGTTTTGAGTTCCCTGTTTAGTTGGCTTGTTCTCCTATTCACACCAAGTGGAACGTTTTTAATTGATACAGGTTCAGAAATCAATACGCACGTTGTTGATATGGATTCAGAGGTATGCAATGATATGAGGCAGAACAACAACAAAATATTTTACATCCATATACACTTTCAGACCTCCAGCAAGAAAGCAAAGAAGGGGAAAACTTACAAGAAGGTAAAGGGTAGTCCCGAGCCCTCAGATGACAAAGGAATTGTGCGTAAACAAAAAGAACTCATGAGAGTTCTACACGTAAAAAATTTCCAGTTGCAAAACGGCAATCTGTCGTACTTAGATTACATTGAATTGAGGGAAGAGCTATTTCGATTGAATGCATTAAAAGATATGTTTAAACATCTGGAATAAGACTGAAGATTGTACAAATCCATGGTACAAATAATATATTTTAAAACATAAAATACATTTACAGAACAGACCAATTATTAAAACTAAAATGCATTTTCATATACACCTGAGTACGGCATACAAAACGAAAGAACTTTTGTGTGGTTTTCTTTTGTTTGTTCTCTTGAAAAGTACGGTACGAAACGATTGCAAACGTTTAATATAGTTTATTATCATAATTATAAAAGGTAACAGCAAAACCCAGCTGATTTGATTCCAACGTAATACTAGTGCCAATATGAATGACAAATTATGTTTTTAAAAATGCCTGCTGGGAAAGTTTGAAGAAGCAAATCTTTCTTCATGGAATAACTCCCGGCATTTTGATGTGTTACACGTTATGGATATGGAAGCGATAGAAATTTTATAGATTTTCATTCATGTTTTTTCAATTTTATTTTGAGGATTCGAAAATATTACATTTTCAAAATAAATATAATTTGTTTGTTTACATTTTCTGTTAAATGAAATTAAGAGTGCCTGGTTACTTTTCCAGTAACATTAACTCAGTAAGTTCTAGTTCAGAGAGAAAGCCGTTTTTACTCTCTTTTGCGATAATACTGAGAAAAGTAAACAGACATTTAGTAAGATTCAACAAATAAGCAGCTGATTCAAGAAAACAATTTTATTTGAGCCAAAATAAAAAAACATAGGACGAACACAATTATTTGTATTGCATTTAATATTAAAAATAAAATTAAGAATAATGGATTTGGTATGTTCCCCGGGAACATTTAAGCTTCCCGCATCAATAAATTGTCCTCTTTCTTGAATTTGCCTAAAAATATAAAGAATTATTTTCTAATTTAATTAAACTATGCATTACTTATGCATTTTATGTAATTTTTATGCAAATCGAACTTTGCAAATTAAAAAACAAAAAATTTTTTTTGAAAATTGTGTTTGGTCATAAAACAGCTGATTCCAAAATGGCTGAGTTTGCAAAATCTTACTGCATAAAATTCTTTCAGTAAACTCCAGTAAGATTGTTGTTGTTTAACTGTCAAACTTGCTCTCTCGCTTGACTCTCTTTTAAGGCTAAGCCAAGGTATATTTAATAAGGTAGCCGCATCGGCCCAGCTGTTGGACAAATAAATGTCAAAAATGTTGTTGTAATGTTGAACCAAAAAATTAAAAAACAAAATTATGAATGAAAATCTCCGAATTTCGAAGAGCTTTTTTGGCAATACTTTTATTAACATTTTCTACAAAAATTTGTGTAAAAAAATCTTGTCAATCTCTTTGTTTTGGCAAAATATTTTTGACATATCAAAATACAACAACCGATGTTTGTTGTAGAAATTCGCCGATGCGGCTACCTTGTATATCTACCTTGGGCTAAGCAGAATGCTCGCGTTGAGCCATCCACAACAACCAAAATGAAACGATAACATAAACGCATATCGTTTCCTTGTTGTTGTTATATTTTCGATAACATATAACGCGACGGATGGCTCAACGCGAGTATTCTGCTTAGCTCTTAATACAACTTACAACAAAAAATCTCCATGTGGTTGTTGTATCGTTTGCTATTCGTCCGATTTCAAGATGTGCACCAAATGACACGAACGAATAAAATAATAATATAACATTAATAAGTTTTCAGTAAATAAAACAACTGAATTTACGACTCAAAATTAGAATTTTGGGCAAAATACATATTTGGTCTGCTCCCGCACTGCTAGAATTCGGTCTGTTCCCGTACTGCAAGAATTTACTACTTTTACTACGATAACGAATTTTCCTTTATGATATCGAAGAAAATAGTAAAATCTAGTAGATTCTTGCAGTACGGGAACAGACCAATTGTTGTTGTTGTTGTTGTAGCAGCCCTATTGCTTTCGCACAATGAGCTGAGGTGATAATTGTAGTCTTGTTTAATGTCTTATAATTTCATATTTACATATAAACATATCTATCTGTTTTATTTATATAATATATTTTAGATTTTTTTAATAAGGAAAATATTGCAAAAAAACTAGCTTTCTCACACAATGGGGTTGCAAATATTATATTTCTTACTAAACCTCGGAAAGATTATACCAACTTTCAACTGAGTCTGAAAATATTTATTTTTTTGTATTTTTCCAAACATTACTAATTGAGTCATCGTTTCGACAGAATAGGGACACTCACTATAAGCAACAAGTTGTAATCAGCAAGTACCACTAACCTATCTCTTGTATTGTGCCATGGATAGTGTGTGGGGGCCTTAACACTCTCAGTGTTTAGAAGAGTGTGTCATCATTTCAATTTCCTTGAGTAAGGGGGTATTAATCCACTCGATTAACATTAAAAAGAAGAAGAAACTAGTGTTTTCTCTCTCCCATCTATCCTCAAAACGTTTATTCTGTCTACTGAATATAGAAAATATCCAAATACGAAGAGAAATATATAATGGGTTCTTCTTCGAGCGGCAAAAAACACAAAAAGGATAAAAAGCACAAGAAACATAAGAAGCACAAGGAGAAACATGTTATTACGGTTACAGAGTCCGATTCCGACAGTAAGTGGTTTGATTTGGCTGGAAATGTCAATATGGGTTTGGGAAGATAACGCTTTTTTGGGGAAGTGTGTTGTGTCCGGAAGGAGGAATAAAGCCTAGCAACCATAGAAGTTAAGCGATTTTTGTTATGTGAAGCATCTTTAGAGGATAGTTTTATTCCTTCTGCACTCACACATATCTATGGGTTCCCTCAAAATCATCGTATTTTCTTTCGTTTTCTCTTACAGGCTCGATGACCATGAGGTAATCTGGGTTGAAAATAACTTTTTGAGATACTGTGTTGACGGGTTTAACTTGAGTCGATAACATAGAGTTGCAGTACACAAATATAGACCTAACCAATTTTCGTTATTTCAGGTTCAGACTGTATTGAAGTACCTGTGGCCAATAGCAGTACTAAAAGTAGAAGCAGGGAACGTGATCGCAGTGCTCCCCCACCGCCTCAGCTATCGAAGCAATATGATCATGAAGAGGATCGTCGAAGGCGTGAATATGAGAGGGAGCGGGATAAGGATCGTGAACGAGACCGTGAAAGAGAACGTGATCGGGAGAGGGATCGAGAACGACAACGTGAACGCGAAAGAGCTTATGAAAAAGAAATAGCTCGCGAAAGAGAACGTGAACGAGAACGTTACGAAAGGGACCAAGTTCGGAGAAGAGAAAGAGAACGGGATGCTGGCGACGATATTGATAGGGAACGGCGAAGGGACTATGAAAGACGTCGAGAAAGAGACCGCGAAAGAGAAAGGTCGGATAGGGATAGACATACTCGTCGTCGGGAGGACAATGAAGACAGAGATATAGAAAGGGCTCTATCGATGGAGAGCGAACGATCCAAATCTGTAGAAATCGTCAAGTCTCAAGAGCGCGACCTTTCTCCAATACCGGAAAACGGCGCTGGCGACTGTCTTTCTATAGAAGAAACCAACAAATTAAGAGCCAAATTGGGTTTAAAGCCACTTGAATTGGATTCAGGTCCATCGTCAAAGCCTACCACATCTGCGGCTGCAGCAGCCGAATTAAAAAAACCGGGCCAAAAAGATTTGTCTTCATATAAGGATGAATGGGGAGAATTTTTACATAAACCGGCAGAAAATCTGAAAGAGAAAACGGAAACGGAAAAGTTAAGGGAAAAACTAAAACAAAGAAAAGAAAAACGGGCGTTGGAGGAACGTCTTGCTCGAATTAAAACCCTTGGTGAATCGGACGATGAGGTAGATGACATTAGTAAGTGGGTGGAACGCAACAAAAGGGCGGTGGATGAAAAGAAGGAAGCCGAACGAAGGGTAAGTTTTGACAAATTTTGATAAACAATCGCTTACAAATCTTATATTCAACAGGCCAAGCTCTTGGAGGAAATGGATCAAGAATTTGGAGTTGATGATCTCGTACAAAAGGAGCAACAGGAGATTCGCCAACGTTCATACAATGAACAACATCTTAAGGGCCTTAAGGTTGATCACGATGTAAATGATTTCACAGAAGGCAAATCGATTATATTGACACTTAAAGACGCCGATGTACTCGACGAAAAGGCCGACGACACTCTGGTCAATGTTAATATGATTGATGATGAACGTTACAAGAAGAATGTCGCTGCTAAAAAACAGAACCCCCTGTCTTATGGTTACAATGTTTATGAGGAACAGTATGATGAACTGGGAAATCCCATAGAGAGGGGCATTTTGGAAAAGTACGACGAAGATTTAGATGGAAACAAGAAGAAAACGAAAACATTTGTCATTGGAGAAAATCTTGAAGAAGAAAGAGAACACCAACGAAAAATGTTGGAGATAAAAACAAAACTTGCCGGCAAAAAACTAGAAACTCTAGCTGACATTGAAATAAAATTGGCATCCGATACTTTGACAGAAGCGGAACTGGCCACGTAAGTAAAATAAGAAAACTAAATGTTTGCATGTAAATAATGCCTAAAATTATTATTTATCTCAATAGCTTTAAGAAACCGAAAAAGAAGAAAAAACTCCGGCAAAAACTTAAAGCTGATGATTTGGTACCACTGGCTGATGAAAATCCAACACAACATTTTGGAAGTCGCTCGGGACGTCATCGCAGTCCCAGCGATGGGGACCCTCCGATGTCTACCGAAGCCAACTTAAAAATCGAGGAAGAGGACGACGACATGGAACGAATACTCTCAAAGGCACGCAAGCTGAAGCAGAAAGAAAGCATCATAAAGAAACCATTGCCAATAGACATAAAAACAGAAGTGAAAACCGAGCAAGAAGACGACAATGCTATGGATATTGATGGTGGTCGGGAAAGTAACATTGTTCTCAATGCCACTGCTGAATTTTGTCGTACATTAGGAGACATACCCACTTATGGAATGGCTGGCAATCGAGATGAAGACTCAAACGGAATGATGGACTTTGAAGTAAATGAGACCAACGAGGATCGTGTGACCGAAGAACCCGAAGACGATCTCGTTGAGCCAGGTCATGGCACTTGGAACTCGGTTAATCCGGATGAAGTTAACAAGCCTGCCAATTTGGATGCTATTGTTAATGAGGTGGAGGAAGTGGCCATTTTAGATGAAGAACCCGATGTTGGAGCCGGCGTAGCTAATGCTCTTCGTTTGGCCCTGTCGAAAGGCTATTTGGAAAAAGAGGAACACAATCGGCCTAGCAATTCCAAAATGGCTCATTTGCAAGCAAAGAACTATTCCATAGAAGACAAAAATATGGGGTAATGTTTAAAGGGATTTCTATTTTTTTAATCTCTATACTAATTTGAACATCTCGTCGCATTTACTTACAGAGAGGATGATAAATTTGGTAGACGTGATCGTTTTCATGGAGGTCCCATTATGGAATTCAAGGATAAAGACAATTTCAAGCCTAATGTTAAATTGGAATACATTGATGACAATGGACGCATTTTAAATTTGAAGGAGGCTTTCCGTTACTTGTCCCACAAGTTCCATGGCAAAGGGCCGGGCAAGAATAAGATTGAGAAACGTTTAAAGAAGATGGAACAAGAGGGGGTAAAATAATTCTCTGAAAGAAGTGTCGACCATGTATTCAGTTTTTTCTATTATATTTTTCTAGTTAATGAAAACTATGAGTTCAACCGATACTCCATTGGGGACACTTACCATGCTGCAACAGAAGCAGAAAGAAACGAAGACCCCATATGTTGTTCTAAGCGGTGGCAAACAAGCATCTACAAATATTTCAGGCGGAACAATATCTAAATTTAAGTAGACTGTAAGCTTTTATTTCCTTTAAGTCATATGTTATCTTCCTAGTAGGAGCGATTAAAAAAAATTACACGTATACCGTATAATAAGCAAAATTTCCATAAACTGCAATAGTCACATAAACATAGATTATAAACCAAACCAATGAATAAGAATAACCGAGTGAAAATCAGCAGCAGCACAGATTGTTTTTGATTGATTTTTCTATCAATCTATCTATGTTTTTGATTGATTTTCAATCACATCTCCAAAAATGCAATAGTTTATTCTTTTTAGCAATTATATTCCATACCCCTATTATTATATATGTCTCACACAAATATATATCGACATTTACTGTAATCATAAGACATCCTAAGGCAGTAATAAAAGGCTTTCAGATTGTCCGTATTATCAAGATTTCCGTTTCGAAGAGAACTAAAAAAGAAAAGATTTTTGAAATAAATTTTTAATACAATAAAATTACGGCACATTGTTTTACTTACTTTTGAAACCGGTAAATATTTGGGTAGGATTTATATGTGGACCATTCATTCTTAATTGGTGTTTACCAAGTTGGCTACACTTTAAACTATTTCTCTCTGATTTCTTAATGTACAATTCAAATGTTGAATCCGCAAATTTTATGCCTTTAAAAATTATACAGTATAACATACTTTTAAAATGGTGTAATATTTTCTAATTATTCCAACCTGAAATGTTTAATTCGTTAGTTCCCGGCAATGTTGCTGGATTTCGAATTGACATTTGTGTAATGTTGTCGCGCATTTCAAATTGGATTCCCGCATAACCAAAGATTATGGACTGTAAAAATCCTCCAATGCCTGTAAGAAAATTTGTCGATCCATTGAAGCCAATTTCTGTTTCGCTCCACACCTTCGAAAGTACCATCAGATTTGTCATGATTAGGATTGGAAATTGTTAAATTAGTAACATAAAGTAAACCAAAGTCTTAATAAGGTCTAACTATAAAGAAGAAACATTTAAAAATGTTCGTAAACTGAACGAAACATTTAGGTCATATTTGTTAAAAATTATCTCGAAACATTTGGAACAAGTCAAGTCTACTCGGATCATTTTTAGTCCTCCTTAAGCTGATTACAGTGATATATATATATTTTATGTTCACCCACATAAGCATAGTTTCCGAGATATGGGCCTTTGTCACTAAGACAATATGGGCACCATTTTAAAGCTTAAACCGATTACCTTAAAAGCTGATTACAGTGATATATATATATATATATATCATATATATATATATATATATATATCATATATATATATATATATATATTATATACATTATAATGATATATTCTTCATCCAGTTTTAAGGCACTATTCATAACCTTTAATATGATACTCATATTGCCTTGCTGGAAATAGTAAAGCGACTGACTTAAACAAAATATTCTCCGAACATTTAAGGCCCATATATCGGCATGTATGCATTTCCCCCCATAAAAATATATATACTTATGGACTCAAAGCGATCCGAGTGGATCCTCTAAACTTGACTTGAGCCAAAAATGTTTCTTCATTAAAATTTGAAATTAACATTTTACAATAGGTTTGTTTGTGTACTTTCCACGTAATAATTTAATGAGTTGTTAATGACAATTTTTGGTTTTACCTTATAAAAACATTTGCAAATTGTGGATAGCCCTTTAATAAACATAAAATCTTACTGTTCAACAGGCAAAACCTACCTTAAATTCTGGTCGTACATATTTTCTATATCCTTTCAAAAAATAAAAATCAGCTTTGTTCATTAGACCGATTTCAAAAAAGTTTATAGCAAACATTGACCAGGTCATGGCGGGACCAGATTGACGGGTTACATTCTCATACAATTTCAGGTCATTATGGCGAGTAGAACTAAATCGAAAAACAGAGTGTTATTGTTGTACAGAATATTACCGATGGAATCATACTTATTCATCTCAAAATGCACAGGATAGCCCAGTAAAATTGTGTCGGCTTGTTTAATTTGTTCTCCAGTTTTATAGCCGGAATACTGGGGATGAAAATCGTTTTCGGGATCATACAAAATAAACATGTTGTTGGCAAGATCTAACCAATCCACCGATGTATGATTTGAGTTAGCTGAACACTGTGACTGAACGTAGCTGAAAGAATCGTTCTTAAAACATAAATTTACTTGTGCTTTTCAAAATTGTTTTTTAACATTTAATATTAGTTGCATTCATTTTTAATTAACAATTGGTTCTTGTTTTGGGAATCGGGGTCTTGGGACTTCGATGTTGTTTCTCATAAATTGAAACATAAAATATTTGATCTCTGCTTAATTTGCAAAATAATAAATTGAATTTATAGTACCTGGCAAATCTAAGAGCCTTCTGCACAGCCACGTTTGTATAGACGTTATCGTCGACATGTTCATGATCTTCATCAGGGCCCATAACATCTGATATTAGTAATGCAATTAATATAGTACTAAAATAATAGTAATAGTACTAAAATAAAGGACACAGTCCTTACCTAATATGTGATACTTATTTGTCTTCAGATTGAATTCCGTTCGGCTGACAAGAAATGTGGCAATTTCACAAGCTAACGGCCAAGCCGTGCTACATAACCAAGTGCGATCAAATGTAGTTTCATAAAATCCTTGTAGTGCTATGACAATGTCGGCAGAAATGTGAATTTCTTGTTTTGCCACTTCGGGACAACATGGATTTGTGACTTCGGTTCCAGTAAATGCGCTTTCCCATGGAAATCTGTTTACGTATATGTGAAAAACGTGTTATTGTATTTATAAAGCATGTGATTGTGCAATTTGAGAAATGAATAAAATTGATAAATCTGGCTTTCTCTCTTCCTATACGCTTTAATGTAACACATCACCTTGCTCCCTCGAAGCCAGTGATATTCGCATTGTAAATAGCGCCATGTAGATGGTCAAGTCTGTAGTTAAATAGTTCTTTAGACCAACCGTTGTGCATTTGAGTAACAACTGGCAACATCCAAATTTCAGTATCCCAAAAATTGTGTCCTTCATAATCGGCATCTAATTGACCACGGGCTAAACCAGTTGGACTTAAACCGAAGTATGGATTATTTGGCATGTTACTAGCAATGGACGGCAAAGAGCTAGCCATATAGAAAATGCCAGCATTAATAATTTGCGACTACAATGAATTATTTAATTATTATTTTTAATGTATTTCGATGTTATCTCACCAATTCCAGATGACCCTTGACATCTATACTAAAATTGTTCCAAAAAGCTCGCCAGTTGGAACAATGTTTATCAAATAGTTTTTCTTGCCGGTTTGACATTACTGGATATAGTAATATATTTGTACTTCTGTGGCACAATAATTATCATATCAACATACCTTCGTGAAGCTCTTCGAGAGCTACTTGTTTGTTTATGTCGACGGTAACAGCGAATCGGTAACGGAGTCGTTCTTGGCCGATGTCCATTTTAAGAAGTTGTTGTCTTTCTGGTAAATCGTCACTGAATGCAATGTACACTTCGGTGCTATGGGGCTGGAACAGTTTGTGTTCTACTTCTTTAGTTGTTGCTCTAATAACTTTGATGTTCTGTTCGTTCTCATTTACATTCATGGGGACCAGGTCGAATGCATCCGTTTCAGATCCAGGATTACATTGAAGATTAATTGTCACAGTTTCTGAGCAAATACATTCAACACACCATACCAAATTTAAGATTTTGAATGTTCCATACTACGTGCATTAATAATTAAGCAGATTACCTTTAGTAGTTTGACGTTCCACAAGTAATTCATAAATTAAAGCCCTATTATAGAAGCGATGCGCGTATACTCTTTGTTGCAGCACAATTCCCCGATCCGTCATGTTTGTTGACCATTGGAAATAACCATCCGACAAATTCATTACATATGTTATGTTATTGTGCATTGGATCCAGTATGCTGTTGTTTGCTTCGTATATAGTTGCACTTATATTTATCCAATTTGGCAGCCGAGCTCTTCGACTGTTTCCTTTCTGTCCATTGTAGACACCGTTTACAAAAATCGCATCACCAAAAACCGTAAAGCCCAAATGACCGTTCGACAGCGAAGGCATAAAGTTCAGATCCGAAGGTAGGCTATGCAAAGGGTTTCAAATGTTTATGTATATATGTACATATGTATTTTATAAAAAGCAATTCGGTGTTTATTCGTACGTTGTCGTTTCCAATAAAAATTCCTTCCTAGTTTCAGCATCAATACAGCGTGACAGAGAGAGCAAAAGCGTTAAAAATAATAAAAATAACATTATTATAAATTAGTAAGTTCGACTTTGCGACGGTAATTTTTTTGAACTTTAATTTGATTATAAAAATCTTCTCTGTATTATATGAAGTATGTTCGCAGATGGCAGATCTTATGTGTGAACAAGTATATTACAGTTTGTGATATGCCATACTTAAGTACGTTGATCGATCGTTTATTGTTCTATTAATCAGTAATTATGTGACCTTTTGAACATGTGTATGTTCGTTTCGTTTCGCAATTGGTGCTTGATAATTTATAAATATCAACAATTATTATATGTTACGGTGGAAATCAAGAGTCAATATTTATTTATTGATATTACAACATTGATCATATCATATATCTTAACAGACTATTTCGAATGGAAGCCTATATTTTCCATTGTCGCGAATTAAGGGCTCGTCCCCATTTTAAGTACTTGAAATCCTGGCCAGTTCCTCAGAAAAAATACCCCCCCTTGATTTCATTTTTTGACTTAAATCGAACCAACACTAATTCAAGAATGTCCCCACAAATTTTCAAGTGAAAATTTCAGGAACTCTTGAAGATATAGCCGATTTATTGTGTTAGCATCAAGTGACAGCAAGAGGGTTCCTCAAACTTTAAACGCGTTTTTCTTCAAGCAGCGTTTTTACGATTGGCGGGCATGATAACTAATAATCCGATCGATTCCAAATTTTGGGAGGTTTCTCTGTGAGTGTATTGCTATCGTATGAACTAGGATAAATCCATTCGATCAAGATCTTCCTTATTTCTTAACTTGGTTTGTGGTAAAAATAGGCGATTTTTCAAAAATATTTTTTCAATGTGATTTTTTGTTGATTTTTGAGCGAAGCCAGACATGTACCCTTTCTGACACCGTTGGAATTTTCGGATTCCGATGTTCCAGTGAGGAGTTATCATGCCCGCCATCAAAAATAATGACTTTTCTTTAATCCCATTAAACAACAACAAAACAATAACAAACATTTTCCAAAATATCAAATTACTATAATAGTCTTCGCCTGTATCAAGCTTTGCTTTATTTAATTACATATTAATTATTTAAAGGTTGTCCGTTATATCGAATATCCACTGTGGAAATCTGCGTTCTCTCTCTCTCTCTCTTGTACATATAAATCATTTAAAAAGTTTAAAAATCTTTTAACACCGCTGTTATTATTTAACTCCTCCTCCAACTAGTCCACTTTCTATTTAAAATAGAAGGTATAGGACCATGCACCCATATGTAGACACCGTCTAAAAATTTCTATAAATAATTCTGGCTGGCTTTTGTATAAAAACGAAATCTTCTTAAAAACAATTTTCGCTCAAATTTGTATTTGATGATAAACTATAATTTTGTCCAGTTCGGTGGATAATTTCAACGAAAGCGTATCACAGCGCCATTTTGTATTTTTTAAGCCCGTAGGCCTATTTAACTCCTTAAAATGCTTCGTTTTAGCGAGCCGGAGTTGTAAAGTACGCAATGTTTATCTCACTCTACATTTTAACTAAAATTGTTACATATGTGTATTATTATTATATAATAAATATTAAGTGGAGTTTTTAAATGCAGATATGTGTAAAAACCCAATCCAGTTTTGGGTACATATTAATTTCTATGATATAAAATAAATAAATACTTAAATGAAAAAGATCGACATGTTTGCAACTGCTTTAAAAAATAAACAGTGGTAGACTGGTAGAATGGAACACCACCTGCAAACATATTTAGAGTGAAGGTAGACAGTTATTACTGGGAACTTATCTTAAAAAACGTAATTAGAACAACATGATATTTTTACTTCAATGATGTTTAATAAGACATTTAATTAGAACAAAAATGAAAAAAATGTGCACAGCGATTTACTAAAACGAAGTTATTTTTGATATAAAAAGCATTAAAGTAAAAAGTGATTGGTATGTTTATTAAGTGTTCCCTTCAAATATGTTTTTTTTTCGTAAAACCGTTAAAACCATTTTTACTAAATGTCCTGTAACAATTTTCTGCCTCGTAACCGTGTATATATTTATTTTAAGGTCCAAAAAAATTGAGAAACATATTAAAATTAGTTATCGTTTTTCAATATTAACAAAAGTTCTTATTTTCACTGGAACCAAAATGAAACCAACAGTTTCAATGAGGCTACAATAAGTACATTGTATGTTTGCATTCGTATTGATATCATCAACTGAATACTATTGATATCATCATTGAATACTAGTAGAATCGACGCGAACGTCTTTGAAAACAAGGTAGGGCAGAACATAGTCATGGAACTCGCCACAATCCCTCATCAGTACCATAACTGTTTTTTAGGAGTAACTATTAATAAGTTCTTAAAAAAAAATTAAGCGCATGTAGAAACTAATTTTGTACTGAAATTTTAGTTTTGAAATTATTTTTTTAGTTATAAGCAAATCATAAAAAGCAATTTACATAATGACAACTATGAACTTATGTTTTGAGTCATTTCACAGTTTGTGGCAGTACCAAGACAAGGGATGGGGTTTCGAAACGATTGGGGCTTACAACATTTCAAATTGTTATAGTTATACCAACCATAACCTGGCATACAATGGAAAGCGTACAACGCTATCAACTATAAACGAGCCTGTCCATTGGCTTATAGCCACAGTGGGAGCTATTAGACAACGGTAAGCATGAATTAAACAACTTGCCGATGTAGTTAGTAGTCCACCTTAACGAGATTCTAATCTTCAAGAATAGAGTGAATGAAATATGAAGACTTGTCTCCCCCAAAAAATTATTCAAATTAACATTGGCGTGTTATTTTCCTGCGCCATTGTATGAGACTGTACATTTGTTTTTCATATTTTAATGTGTTTTGCATTTCTAGATATACATTTTCTTTTACATACAAATGTGTATATGTATATGCACGAGTCTATCAGATTGTCTGACATGTTGAAAAAAGGGGGACTTGAACTAAAATTTTTAATTGTAATAATATGAAGAAGCACGCGCGCGCATTTAGGCATGCGCAACCGAATGATGAGTACAAAAACAAAAGACAAGAAAGAATTATTATTAACGTCGTCTTCCCAAAGACTTATTTCAATTATTACACCTGTTCCGTTTCGGAAAATAACAATCACCAACGACCAAGAAACGGTGCGATAAATAACGTGATCACAGCCATGGAAGATCACTCTGCCATGACTGGCAAAAGAAAAGGGTTGAGATTGAAGGAAGAAAACATTGTAATTTTCAATTTCCAAGAAAACTCAGTGGTATTGCTCTTATAAAACAATTTATGTAGATGTGTTTATAGATATGACGGCACCAATCTGTATTATGGCTATTAGCTAGCTAGATAGCTGTGTCGAGTGTCATAAATGTTTAGGTAGCACACCGAATGAAGTATTAGGGCTGTGACCTTTATTGATCCCGATTCTGCTGTTCCTTTAATATTTCTAAACACAAACCATAAGCAACGCACTACAGAACGGCAACATAATTGTTTGTGATTTCTTTTTATGTATGACTTCAGAGCATCCAACTGAGATTGTGTTATTTATATCCATGTATATTAGCATTGAAGTAGTATTTAGTCTGTGTCTTTAGTTTCCAGAAAAATATATCCTATAGAACTTGGGGTTTAATTTTTCCAATTGGCATAATTTGACATTTTTGTACTTCATTGGGTATCCGTGTCGCTTGTGATTCGATATTTTTATTTTTCATTGGATAGTAAATTTGCATACCAATAAATTTGCATACCAATGGTTAGATTCAGTGTTAAAAAAAAGATCGTTGTTTCTCAATTTTAGACAAATTTTGCCATTAAAAGTGATAGGAATGTAGTATTTCTGGTTTCCTGTTATCTCCTGGACCTTGTCAAAGTAAAAAAATCTTAAATATTTGTAGCTGAAATTTAATTCAATATTGTCCATAGCATTTTTCATATGAGAATGTAAAAAAAGTATAATTAATCTGGGAAACACAACATCATATAGAATTGGACATATATATATATATATATATATATAAATACATGGGAGAATTTATTGAACATCTTTAAATTCCAAATATTATTTATATTTGTTATTTCTAAAAAGTCAGGCTTATTAGTAGGGAATGTATGACATTGTCCACTTAGGAGTTAGACGGGGAAGACTATAGCTTCGGATCTGGCACCCTGAGTCTCATCAGTTCTTTTACCTTTTGTTAGGATATTCTCCCCAGAAGCTATTTACAGCTTATAGGTGGGAAAGACGAAGATCTATATTTAACTAGAACAAATCGAATAACAGATGATTGATGTAGAGATAGTTTAGACCAATGCAACGCGAATACAAACTACTTCCTATCATGTCGGTGTTGCTGTTTTGTTTTGTAATTAAAGAAAACTCTATTGCATCCAGTATTGCCAATTTAACACTTTTAATTTCGCTCAATACAAAAAAAGTTATCTGCCACCTTTTTATCATTTTATATATATATATATATCGGACGGGCTGACTATATGATACCCTTCGCCACTTTGGGTATATTCTACATATGTATCCTAACATGAAATTATACGAACTTAAATATGACCCAACAAATGTGATGTGAACCAACAAAGATCAATCCATTGGAGCAGATTTTTATAAATCGATTTAAAGCAAACATGACACAAACTTTAAGACAATACACTATAGGTAATTTGGACAGTTTTTTGGGCAAAAAGTCATTTTTTTAATTTTGGAAAATAAAATCTTTTTTGATGGCATTAAAAAGAAAACATGTCAAAAATTATGACTCTGCAAGATTTATGTTTTACACATACGACATTTAGATAGACTTTTACTAAAATGTTTAAATATATGGAAATATATATGGATGCTATGTCTGCATCTGCACCTGTTACAACAAAACGCAATAACTTCATTCTAGTCTTAATTTGATACTTTGTGAACAATTTCTTGTCAATCGGATAAACATTAGGAGTTTGTTTGTTGCACATGTGGGATCTATGTATATCTAAATCTAAAACCATTTCAACGACAGTT